AATTATTTCAAGAAAATACTACCCATTTCACTGGAGAGAAATAAACCGAACTTGTATTATTCCAGTTCTACAGGAAACAGAAGAATCTTAATTGAGTCACTCAAAGATGCTTAGGAAATAAAATTCATAACGTCGAAACTGGGACAGTTAATGATGGGTTGGAATGGCAATAAAATGATTACTTTTATTTGCTTTCAAACTTAGTAGTTGCCGGATGAGATTACTATATGAGAAGCCGAATATGAAAGTAACATAAGCTTGAGTAGCAGGAGTAGTAGCAGGTTAGTCGAGCGCAAGAAAGTTTCCCTGAAAGTGTCACTGTAAACATGAAGCAGTTTTTGAAGCCAAGAAATGCTCCGCTCTAATCGCATGTTATAATAGACATTGAATGCTCCCTTTAGCTGAGTGAAAGTGTCCTGATGAATGACTCAGTATGCTAAACCACCAATATAAAATTTTTTGAGTCTGAATGCGTCGAAGCGTTTGTACTTGTTTATGTTGCTTTTAACACAGTGATGGCTGCCAAAATCTGATTTCTAATGTTTTTCCGTTGTCATGCAACTACAGCTACATTTTAGCTTGTGGCTTACATAGAAGCCTGCTTCTCCGGTTCCATGTTTTATGACATTCTGTCAAGCAACATCCGTGGTAAACATTTTTTTATTTTATTGTCCTTTGCATACATTCACGCATACTGGATGTCTTTTATTAAATACTGTGATTTCGAGACGATGTGTACCTTAGAAACTGCAACTCTCCATGGAGTATTAAACGCCAGCTGTGTTCCAACTAAATTGTTGAACGTTTGCATTTTGGCGCAATAAAAAAGAAGGGAATGCATAAATCATAACGCAGAGAAGCGCCAATCAGTCAGTCGGTCACTCAGTAAAGTCGGCCAATCAGTCAGTCACTCACTCACTCACTTACTCAGTAAGACGAACAGTCAGTCAGTCACATAGTTTTGATCTCCACTTGTCTTTTCGGTTTATAGAGGCGGACTCCTCAGACAATGTCTCCATCGTTCCATATCCTGCGCCAGCTTCTGAGCTTCAGCAGGAGATCACCTGAGTCTGGAACATAGTCCTTCGGGGTACCACCACCAAAACATTCTCGACCGTACTCGTCGTTGTAGCCCCGTTGCTCAAGTAGTAGCTGTTTCGCTTTCCACTTTATACGTATTCGTGAGACATACCCATGCCATCGCATCTCTGACTTCTCAATCTGAAGAAGCAATGCTTGTATGCCAAAACTCTCTCAAATACCTGTACTCTGGGCCATGTCGAGACAAGTGAGTCCAGAGAACGGTGTCAAAAAGTTTATTTCAGCAGCTCATATCCGGAATCGAGATTTTTCAGTCGTTCCCCGCGACTCATGACCGTAGGTGAGCATCGGGGTGAAGATCGACCTGAACACAGAGCTTTGTTTTCAGACCCGGTTAGCTTTAGTCACTACAGTTCGGGTTGGTTCATGCAGAACCCCGCTGGCCATTCTAATTCCCCGTTCGGTCACTTCTACCAAATTTCTGTCACTTGTAAACATTACCTTGAGGTAAGTGAACTTGACATTTTCCCCCTGCTTCTCGTTTATTTGAGGAGCGCAATGGGCAGAAGAGCGAAAAGCACAGGACTGGTTCATTCGCATGTCGGCCATGTCGTGCTCGGTTGCGAACCATTGCAATGAACGCTGCGGATCGGTTTCAGGAGATTCTGAATAAACAAGGTGGTCCACAAACAGGAACATTCTCGTCTGTACATCTCCTATGCTGATACGCCCTGCCTAGCTGCGGCTGCCTCTTCCATCCATGTACAACACACACACGACAGGGTTCAGAACGCCTCTTGAGCATAACTAGTGCCAACGCTGAAAGCCTTCGACTTAACGCCAATTGCTCAGGCGCTAAATGGCCATCGATCCCATATGTTCTCAGGCACGCAGATAGCTCGCTGCGCGGGATCGGGTCACAGGCTTCCTTCAGATCAACAAAGGGTGTAAACCTGTACAATTTCCCAAAAATCTGGCGCAAGGCGAAGATCCAATCGGTGGTGCATCGGCCTGCCCTGAAGTCACTCTTCTTTTCTTTGATCTTTGCGTCAACTATTCCGCAACACCTCCTTTTCAACACGTATAGGTCGACTTGCCTCGAGAGACATTAATAATTAAAGCGGTCCTTTTATCTCTTTTCTTGAACAGGTACTACAACCCCTACAAAGTCCCCATTTTAAACATATGGAACATTCACCTGACAGGAACAGCGTACACAGTTACCTATGCAGGAGAACAAAAGGTGTACTAGGAACACAGCAATATGACTTTGAGCGTTACCCAGAAATGCTAACTGCATTTCGGCCCCTTCGGGTTGAGTCTGAAGTAAGAATTTTGGAAATCATATGGAGCGCAGTTGAAACAGATGCGTTAACGTGGGTTTGAAGACAAATATCAACGGTCTTCGAAGGACCTCGAAATGGCAGGATGATAAGTTTCGAAAATGACAATGGTTCCGTGAGTGTAGAAAACTTGTATGGAGGTAACGTAAATGCGAATATGTACTCCTGAAGGTTTTCTTTAAGCCTTGCAACTTTTTCAACCACCTTGCACAAACTAATATGACTTGGAGTATCAGAGGTAATGTTCTTGTACAATGATACCTATGTATGTTTAGAGTCATTACGGTATCTTCAGATAGCGCGCAGTTCATGGTGTTGCACGTAATGGTGATTGATTCGTCTTCTTCTCAACAAATCTTGTTTGACATGTTTGACATGCAGACGTGGCTCATTAGACTAGCCCGAGAGAGGGCCTTCAAACACCGACACGAATAAACCAGTGTAATGTGCCTGTTTGAAATGCAACTGATATTACTCAAAAAAACAGTACGTCAGGCACATCTATAACACAGAAGCACAGAAGTTATCCTCATCTGTTCACTCTTCATACCCTTGCTTTATTGCCAACGAAGTTTTTCTCGTTGTTTCGGCCTGCACCCGTTGCATTTCATATTGATACACTGCATCGATTTGTTCCCATATTGACCATCATTTGATAGTTTACGATATTCGCATTGTAAATGGACATTTTGGCAAGGAAACAAAATGGAGAAAGAAAGAACAGCGTTACACCTTGCGTTGATTATTACCCTGGATGGTCAGTTATAACTGGGGGAGAGGGGAGGGGGGGGTCATGGGATGGGGAAGTGCATCTACACGGAGTGCTCGCTTTGGAGACATGATCGTACGCCTCTCCCACTCTGGCATGGCCACACCAGTATATCATGTTGCTTCTATTGTCCGCAGGTCAACGACTTGCTACCCGTTTCTCGGCTGACTGCACCGACGCTAAGTCGGGTCAATTCTTTGCACAAGAAAACTGGTTGTTGGACGAAGATTGTTTCTTGAGCGGATTCGAACCCGGCATCTCCGAAATTCAAAGCCGACCTGCTTGCCACTGCGCCCCCTCCGTCCCCGATGGCAAAAACAGACATACAACAAATTAATATGTGAAAGAAACGTTTTTAACGATGCTTTTTAAATTAAATGATACATTTAACGTTGCGCTTCAGTTTTCGTGACTACAGCCGCTGACCGAATCCAGAGTTCTTACGCCTGCTGCTGGGATAACCTGATTGGTGCTTACCTCGGTGATGTGTACTCGGTGCAATGGATGAACGACAGCGAACATGTAAGTGGTTCGATCGGCTAATAACCAATAAATTTTAAATTTATCAAAATAACAGTTCCATGAAAATGTGCTATGCGTTCTATCAACACCTCTTGTGTTCCATCTCTTGTGAAGTAGCTTAGCATAATAGCAAAACAATGAAAATGGTGAATTCAAGTATCTCGGTTTCATTCATTCAGAGTTTAATATGGGATCGCGCTCGTCTCCAATCCTTTGTTAATCAGTTATCTAGTGTCTAGAAATGCATGGCTTTTCAAAAACTTTCCGAGAGTTTTTTACCTCGGTAAGTCACTGCTGTTCTTCAACGGCAACGAGACAATCACCTGGACGAAGAACCAGGAGTAACGGTCGAACTGCGTATCACCACGTTGACTTCGACGTATAATAGGGGTTAAACCACAGGACCACTTAAGGGCTAAAGAACGACGTTATTCATTCCGTAAATGTGCAAATTACAAAAGAAAGTGGTTAATCCCGCTAAATGAGTTATTTACTTCAGCCCTCAAGCTTTCTGCGTTGGGAGGCGAAACATGACAGATGTCGATCAGGAGGTAAACATGTAACTTGAATGAACTTGTTTGCTGCAAAGCTGTTTCTGAGAGGAGTTGCTTCTACAGCGATGCAGTAAGCGACGCCTGATAACAATGGTTTTGAAAAGATACGAATAATTGAACATCATAGAGAAGACACGTTCCGCTGATGCACACACACACACAAGGTGACTATGTTAACAAACACACACAAAAATGGGCTGCATTATTTTCGGATGGTGTTATAATGCAAAATAAATTGCAAAAGGCTGGTCTTTAAGGATATTTATGGCGCTAAGTCTTGATTTCACTTAATCACTTTTTTGGAATCCCTACTGATGAAGCCTGAACATTTGATTCAGAACAACAAAAAGCCACAGCTTTCGAAAGGCCTCTGAATGAAGATCAGGAAAATTTCGTTTTAGATGGTCGTATTTCTGCGATGGAAGCGATTAGCTGAAAGCAAATGAGTAAAAACCTTTTCATCATGAAATTAATAGAGTCTTGAAAAACGTTTGAGGATTGATCCTGCGGCTGTAACGGTCCGGTGTACATATCATGTGTGAGGAAGAAGTAATTTTTACGTGCATTTGCATGTCATCGTCATTCTAAAGTTTCTGCCTCAGAAATCGCAATGTTTCAACTTATGATGTCCGCAGGGAGGTATGCGAGATAGCATGAGTTCAAGTACAGCTTACTGCTTCCGCGAAGGAAGGAGTCTGAAGCGATTGCGAGCTTGGCTGAAGGTTGTCTTTCCACATTTGGTGTGGGTTCCTGCGCCGCGCCGCGGCCTCCGTAACTGAATTGCCACAAGAGGATCTGGTTGCTCATTGCTTGTCATACTTTGAGAGCGACATGAAACAGCTGATTTGTCGCAGCCATGAGTTTGCCTCACAATATCCAACTGTAAAGATGCTGGTCGTACTCATATGACCTGTCATACAATTCCAAATGTATGTCAGCTCGTTGTGCCTGTGCTGCAGCTAAAGGGTAGAACATGCTGCTAAGTTGTTGACACTTAGGCCATGCGCCTACCATGTTCCATGAGTACCTGACAGACGACCAATAAGCATGCGGCGTAATCGATCAATATAATAATTTATATTATCAGCACCCGCGTAGCCATTTGACTTGGTCAGTACAGAAATCACATGTTAGATGAAATATAACTTAAGACTTATAAATCAAATTTGACCAGTAGATGCAAACTCTTATTCCATTGACGGTGCCCAAACGCCGTCTGCGTCACAGCAAAAGGCGGCACCACGAAGTCAGTTCATTATGCCATTTGTTCCTTCAAACAAATAACAGTTTATCTCAGATTGGAAATGACACAGGAGTCATTTCAGTGATGACGTTCACATTTTGTATTCGAGGAAAAAAACATTAATAATATTTTTTGGATATGGAACCCATATGGAAGTACATTTAGATATGGAAGTAACAGTGCATATAGTCAAGTGTCTGAATGGTGAAAGAAAGTTCTTGTTGTCAATGATGCTCATTACGTTTGCATGTTCTTGTTTAAAATCTGGCAACTAAATGTGTAGTTTCTTAAATAAATTAATTTAATGGTGTTAATTTAAGAGATATCCTTTTCCTCTACTTTTGCCTGAAAGGTGAAGTTTATTTAATATGCTGGTGGAGCATATTTCAGCTTGCTGCAAACGCAACCGAATGAGTACATACCTGTGCAAAAATTAGTTACATGTGAGAGGTTTTTCAGGAAAACCTTGCTACAGAGAGTTTGTTTACTCAGCTGATGGTTGTTAGAGAAAGAACATCTACCTCCAACGTAATGGTTTTCGGTGATTTGCTGATGGGGCGACGGATAGTTGGAGAATTTCAAGGAGTTCCGACACAAAGCGCAGAAGTGCCACAAACGAAGAACAAGTTTACTGTATATTTTGGCCTTCAGTTGCAAAATCGTTTATCCAAATTGACATTTTTAAGGGTTGCTCCGATGCGGTACCTTCAGAAGATGTTCCTGTAGAAATTTTAAAACGTAAAATAGCTTCAACAAAGGGAAAGGAACAAGCGGAATTCGAAAATCAGCTTCAACAGCTACTCGAGGTACTTATGTAACAAGTTGCTTGGTCTTGAATACTTTAAACTTTGCTTAATAGAAAAGAGAAATGGCTGATTCCATAATTAGTTCCATTTCCGACCCATTTGAATATCTTCTGAAAAATCCCAAGACCATGAAGATGAAAGGTACGTCTCCTGAGAGAAGTGAAAACAAAAGGCGCGAACTCGACTGCCATTCGAAGCTGGTGCATGCGTTCAACGAAATCTGTTTCAACATCGGCAGGGTAAGTGTAGCGATGTGGCGATCGTTTAATATCCTCATCTCTACTTCGTTATGACATAGAATCCGTACACGGCAAAAATTGGGCGACTGTTCAGTCAACTTTGCGAAGGCGACGTTAACGAAGAGAAAGTCATTTTGAGAATGCAGGAGAGGTGCTCCATGAAGAGCAAGCTCGCTGACATTTATTAACACGTCTTTTTTGATTTTGTTTAATTCATAACTGCAAGCTACTCCTGCTCTCTGTGTTACGTTTACGAATGAAGTATCACTACGTCGTGTCTTATATGTGTTGAAAGAAATATTAAGTCGCAAATATTCAGTCTTTTAGTCGTTTTTTTATTGTATTGAGCATTCAAGATGGGCACATTGAGGCAGAAATAATCATGAATCCGTTTCACATGTCGTGATTCATTTGAGTAGCGCGAGCTAGCGTAGCTAGAGTAGGTGTAAGAGACTTTTTGGAAGAGTGCGATTCCTCGCCTTTCAGGCAATTTTCCCACTAAGTCATCTAAAGCGCAACTATGACAGATATTCAATGTACCTAAGTCATACTGACGTAATTCGTAATTCGTAATCTGTGATTCGTAATTGTAAGATATATTACTCCAGAACAAAGACTTCGCCAGATGTGTGCCTGAAATGCTGAGAAATTATCCAAGCTATCGATATTGTAGTGAGTCAACTTAGATGCGCAGGTGCTCATATCAGACCCCTGGAAAAAGAAAAAGAAAAACAAGGTGCTCAGAAAGTCTGATGGACCAGAGCTCGAATAGCATGCCTCCTGAGGCTAAAAGCTATTTGAAGTTACGACAAAAATCTTCAGAATTTCAATCAGCCTCAGTGCCAATATTTGAAATACAGTGCACTGGTTTGCCCATGTACGGTTGGTACCCCACAGTACAAACACAGTATCCCGCTTTATGGTAACAGACTTCTTATGATACAAAGCTTGTTATAAAACAGCTGTTTCAGTGTATTCAGTAAATAATCATAATTGTTTACATGGTTCATTGATTAATCCGGGAGACTCATGGCATCGTTAGCGTTCTCAAGTTTATTGAAGCATCCACCGAAACATGAGCCAACTATCCCGACAACACTGAGTTGAATCAGCGCATTTTTTGTTTCCTAGCAGTTGCAGTTGACCAGCAGTGAACTAATCGATCTTCTTTTCCTTCAGGTTTTGCTCCTTTTGCGGATCAGTGATGAACTTCCGCATTGACGACTGGTGCTAGTCAATTACCCTGGAAAATGTTCGACACCAACTTACTACCGCATAGTTCGTTTTGACAGTTCTTAATGGATGGTGTCGAAACAGTTCCAAACTGCTGAAGCCAATGTCACAGCATTTTTCCTGACGTCAATTTGGACAGCCATTCCTTGTGTCTTTGAAATAGCTTATGAGCGGGTGCGCTCGGAGTGGGGAATCATTCCTTTCGAAACGGAAACAACTTCAAAGCCTGTTTGGTAAATCTGATGCGTTGATACGAAGCAGAGAACAGTGATCACTCGGATTTTTAAGGCGGAGGTAGCATCCATGTAGCACCTTTGCTGGAGACCGTCTGCCAGAATTCTTCGAGTGTTCCGATTGAAATGGAACAAGCACCCACGATGCAGGACATTTGGACAGATTTGTTAGAGATCGTCTATGGTAGAGTGCTTGAAATCGATTCACGTACCAAGCTTGGCTCCAACTGTTTCAGTGTGACCAGCATATGGCTTGCGTCAGTTTTGCCTTTCCGCAATAGCATACAGCAGGCGACAGACCGACGTTGCGGCAATGCACTGCCTTGAGAGTGTACAGTTCCTGAAAAGGGCAGCCTTAAAATTTCGTTGATGCGCCAGATGAGTGACTGCGACAATAGTCGCAACTTATAGCTAGTTGAAAATTTCATTATACAATCGCTGTGACGCACAAAACGTCCTCTTTAGCATGACGCAGTTTGTGCCCTCCCGATAATGCAAGATCATTTTCGGTTCAGAAGTGACCTGCGCTACTGGGTTCACTACTTTGTAAAACAATGTTCTATTTAAATATCTATTTCATAAATGGATTTATGGTATCATCACCGCTGCTCGTGAAAATTCCAAAGAATTCACGCACACGAGTCGAGTCATCAGATATTATGGCACGTTCCTTATCTTTTTCGATAACCCTTACAACAATTATTTTGATTTCGTTAGAAGCACTGTTGTTTTTTAATTGAAACAAATAAAGCCTTTATACTATAAGTCAAACCTGGGATCTAGCCCGGCTGAGTTCGCATTTCTAGCGAATCATTTCTTTCACTTTTCTGTCTGAGGTGAATGGATTGACAAACTGAAATAACTCTAATTTGTTGGCTGTACTCTCAGCTAACTGCGAAGGCATGCTTATTGAAAATCCTCCATTTAAACAACTTTAGCTACTATGACAAGCATGCCTGCAACCAAGAATGGCGAGTGCAAAAGTGTGTGGCCAGAAATTTCGCAGTGGGTGTGCAGTCGATTCTCGCTACAGATTACTTGCTCGTGAAGTGCCATATTCCTTTGAACAAGCGATGTGGATTTTTGACAAAAGAAACGCATTTATCAATGAACGTATGCATCATTGTGCTTCATGAGATGCGAACAAGCCTTCATTTTTGCGATAATGCGATTCAAACATAAGCGAAGCGCTGCTACTTCACTTCTCTTCATTTTTCATGCATCTGAACTTCAGCAA